TTTTTAATTAATTTTATATAATACGTCTTTTAATTAATTTTCAGAAATATTACACCAATTCTTTTTTCAAAAATAATACACTAGTTGGTTCACAGTAGACCGATTAGTACCCAGTCGACTAACAAGTGGACGATTGGGCTCCTGTCCATTCCTGTCGGCTAACTGGTCGACTGAAACTAATTGGCTTACAGTATCAACTCAAAAAAATAAATAAATTGGGTTACAGTAGATTGACTGAAACTAATTGGCTTCCTATAAGTTGATAGGTGCATGTCTCATTTTCTCAGACCTAAGTTTCTTGTTTCTGGGCACTAAGGTGAGTAAACATTGTAGTGTAGTCTCGTACTCTCGCCAAGATATGTCCAAATCCTGATATCTTGCCGAGAGTACAAAACTACACTACACTGCTTACCCACCTTAGTGCCCAGAAACAAGAAACTTAGGCTTGAGAAAATGAGGCATGCAACTATCAACTTATATTAAGCCAATTAGTTCTAGTCGGCCTACTGTAAGCCAATTAATTCCAATCGGCCAACAGTTAGCTGACAGGAGTGCAGAAGCCCAATCAGCCTGCTGTTAGCCGACAAGGTACTAATCGACCTGCTGTAAGAGCCGATTATGTATTATTTTTGAAAAAAATAAATTCAACGTAATATTTCTAAAAATTAATTTAAAATGTATTATTTAAAAAAATATCCATCGCGTGCCCAGCCACAGCCACATGTCGCGCACGTTCCCGCGGAACAAAGGGTTTTTTTTTGCATGTGTTTTTGTCTTTTTTTCTGCTTTTCGTATTTCGTTTGTTTTTACCTATGTTTTTTTGAAGAAGAAAATGCAGTATATTTTTGTTTTGTTTTCGTTTTAGATATACAATTTTATTTTGAGACAAAAATATACAAATAAAAGTAATAAAATGAAAAGGAAAAGATGTGCTATGGAGCCAGTGCTCCTCCCTCGTGCTGGGTTGGCCCATTTATGACATACTGTAGGCGACAATGTGTGATGTATCGCAGCAAGCGACACATAGCCGCACCCGTTTGAGCACACCAAGCAGTTTCCTCCGACAGAACCAACCTGCGTTCAAGTTCTAGATCTAATACTGGTGTTCATATTTCTGGATTTATTTCAGGCCTTCTTGCGATGCGCGTTTAGTAAAAAGAGGCGTTCTCGTCGACTATAAAGACATTTCTGGCGACTTCGTCAATCTTCAGATGATGTGCTGACTCAGTCTCTCAGATGTGCTCATAAAGAAAGTGGGTGTGTGTGCACATGTTCATAGAGGTGATTGTATGTGCGTGTGTATGACAATATGAGCGTCTACGTATATACTGTGTTCAAAAGAAACTTCATGCGACATAGGCTAAACTGGTCAAAAAATCATGTAATCCTTTTTCAGCACTACAAATCAAAGTCGACTCTTACCCTACCAGCTAAGAGTATATGAGCCCATTAGAAATTTGAAATTTAGCTCATCCCGGAGATTTCGGGATGGCCAGAATAATGAATTTGCAGAGGTAGGAAATTTCTACTCGCCGGTGAGAGCTCCTATTGGATGCCCACATGCATCCAACAGTAGAGTTTTACCTCAAAGGGCGGCAAACAGCCATCCCGATCGCAGAGTCGAATGTTAAACTTCACAAAAATATAAAAAGGGGGTGCGCCGAGTCGAATCTTGACCTCGGGCTACAAAGCACCATTGATAGCCACTCGAGCGGACAACTTTGGCCAGTTAAAACGCAGTGCTAATGTTTAAGTACTAGCTACCATGGGAGATCCGCTTTTCCCCCAAAAAAAAGTGACATTTCTTGGAAAATTTGTGAACAAATTTTATTTAAAATGCGCATAATGTTTGAAAGTGTGATTTTTTTTTCAAAATTTGAACAAAACCTTTAAAAAAGGATAAGCTCTAAAAAAGTAAACAAAAATAGGAAAACATGAACAATTTTTTGTGTGCACTGAACAATTTTAAATATATATACTTAAAAGTTTTGTAATATACTATGAACAAGTTAAAAATACACAATGAACATTTTTGTGATACACTGTACAATTTTTAAATACATGTTGAACATTTTTGTGATATAGGCCGAACAATTCTCAAATACACAATGAACATCTTTTTAAGATACCCTGAACATGTTATTAATATATGGCGAACATTTTCTTAAACATACGACGAACATATTTTTAATACATGGTGAACTTTTTGTACAATACACAAAATAGAAGAAAAGGAAAGAAATAAACTGAAAACCAATAAAACCGGAAGCAAGTACCATAAGAAAAATTCAAAGAAAAGAAAGATAAAAACCATATGTGAATGAAAACAATTATTGAAGAAAAACAGAAAAAAGAAAATAAAAAGGAAAAGCCAAAAAACCTCCCCTCCCCCCAAATATTTCAAATTTCTAAATTTAAATTTAAATCTATACCTACTAAAACTAAAACTAATACTAATACCTTACTAATACTAATACTAATACTATAGTATACTATACTGTACTAATACTAATACTAATACAATACTAATACAATACTAATACTAATTACTAATTACTAATTACTGGTCACTGTACTAATACTAATACTATACTAATACTAATACTAATACTAATACTAATACTAATACTAATACTAATACTAATACTAATACTAATACTAATACTAATACTAATACTATATAATAATAATAGTAGTAATAATCATATAATAGTAATAATTATTATTATTATATAATTATATAATTATAATTTTTTTAATAATAAAGCAAGGTGCGTTTCGCCAAGTTTTTCATCCGTTCATCGCTGAAAAGATTATTTTTTTATCCGAGATGGTACTAAATTCTTATGCGTTTGTCTGCTAGAAAAAGAATTATCATACGTGGGCTGCATGGTGTGGCCCAACGAAGTCAGCCCACTTATTTTTCTGCCAGGCAGATGGGAAAATTCTATTTTCCGCACTGGACGACAAAGAGTCGAAATTTCGTAGAGGACAACCAATAATGGGCTGGCCGATTTTTCTTTTTTTCTGTGTTTTACTTCTATTTTTATTCTCCTTTCCTTATCTCATTTTTCATTTCCAAGTTTATTTTTCTTTTATAATTTATTTGATAAACTAAAAATTCTCAAAAAAAGTTCAAAAGTAGAAAAAACAAATTTTGGAAAATGGTAAGAATTCCAATTTTTTTTGCTATTTTGAAAATTATTTAGAACTTGCAAAAAGTTTCCCATTTTTTCAAAAAAACTTATTGTTTTTAAAACTTGTTCGAGATTTCTAAAAATAAAATGTCATTTAAAAAAAATCGAAAAATATTCTTGTTTTAGTGAAATTTTTTTAATGAAAAATAATGTTCATGTATAAAATATACATATTTTATAAATATCTTATGAATTTTCAACAGATGTTCCCATTTTAGAAAGATGTTCACAAATTCAAATAATGTTCATGTTTTTATAAAATAGTTGGTGTTTTCCGAAAATGTTTGTGAATTTTAAAAGATGTTCTCTTTAATATTTTGTTCGCGTTTTTTCAAAAGTGTACTTAATTTTTAAAAAGTTGTTCAGGATTTTTTTTTCATGTTTCCTAAAATATTCAGAAAATTCATACCTTAAAATCCCCTCGGTTGAAGGGATTGAAAGGAAGAGTAGATTGAATAACTCATGGGCCTTCTCTGGCATATGATGACGTAACAAAACTCTTAAATACCCTCAATCATTGCATGGAAAAATAGTGGATTGATTTCTTCACACGGCGAAACCGGAAAGCTAAATGTTCCATTTTTGTGTGCACACGGGATTTTGCTTGCACATATAATTGTCACTGATTTTAAATGCGTACTATTTTATCTCCCGTTGCAATGCATGGGAGCAAGGTGCGTTTCTCTGATTCTTTAATCCGTTCATCCATGTAATAATTTTTTATTTTTCTCTACTATTAAAGGTGATACTATAATTGTTTTTGAGGCATTTCAAAGGCGATACTTTGATAAAACTGCATAGGGTACACTGGGCCAGATACACAGCACTGTGCAGGCCCAGTAGGGATTCTGGGCCAAGGGCCGTGTCGATGTGCGTGTGCTTGAATTAAAGCAGAAAAAAAAGGGTGGATGGACACGCTGCAGACCAGCTCGGCTAGACTAGCGGATGTGAATAAGCTCGGCACCGGGTGGAATTCCTCCGACGATACCATCCTGAACCCCAGTCATAAGGCTGATGAGTAACTTAGACTAGTGTCATGCATATGACACTAGTCTAAATTACTACTTTCATAATGCCAAGTAATATAATAATAATATTATAGATTGCTTTATTTATTAGCTTTTAGACTCATTTATCTTGAAAAGCGTTATGTTACAGTAACATATTATGTTATCATTTCTCATTAATTTACTTGCCACATAAGCAAAAAAAATTCGAAGTGCGCTCCGTTGTCCGCGTTTTGCCATGGAATAGCAATTGTGATAATTGTGAAAAGCTAAGAGTGGCAGAACTGAAATGTCAAAATCTAGAGTGGCATAATGAAAATTGGCAAAATCTAGAGTGGCAAAAACAAAATTTCCCCCCCCAAAATAAGTGTCACTGACTTAAGTACAATTAAATTTGCGTCTTTTTTGTGGGTAAGTATAAAAATTGCATCTTTCTCTGTGTAAGTGTATACAAAATTTGTGTCTTTCTATTGGAAAGTGTTAAATTTGTAGTATAATCAAAATTGCATCTTTCTGTGTGGAAGTATATAAAATGTACACTCAAAATCCCGTCTTTCCATGGTAAAGTGTAAACACTCCATCATTGTTTGTGGGAAATATCAAAATTGCATCTGTGACGAGGCTAATGAGAAATCAACTCTGATTTCTTTATATATGAAATATGTAGGAGGACAATGAAGATGATAGGCTCAGCATTTTGCCTGATGATGTTTTGCTCAACATTGTTGAGCGACTTGATATTGCTGACGCCACAAGAACCACCATCCTCTCCAGACGTTGGAAGCAGATCCCTGCAATGCTATCAAAAGTTGTTATAATGGCTGGTTCTTTTGAACCCAAGCACACAACAAGCAAGTTAACCTCAGATGATATAATTCGGTTCAACAGCACCATGCTGGAAGCAACCAGGAGCATACTGGAAAGGAGGGCTAGAACTTTATACACCATTCACCTGTTGCGCATGCAATTCTACTTGGGAGATGAGTCCATTTTCATTGGCCAGACTGTTGCCAACACCATAGCAACACAAAAGGTTGCTTCAGTTGAGTTTACAATCTTGACGAAGGTGCGTAAAAATTGTACAAATAATGACCTACTGACATATGGGAGACAGTTCATGTCATTCTTTGATTCGTGTCCAAACACATTTGGTTGTCTCGCACGCCTCAGGCTAGAGAATTTGAGGTTAGGAGAATCAGACTTCCCCAAAATTTTCAGTATATGCAAGCAACTAGAGTTCCTCTTCCTCTATGAATGTGACATGGGTATTAAGTCTTTGCTGGAAGTGGAACACCCGCAACTCAGTGAACTAGTGATTGCCTCTGGCTGTCTTGAGAGGGTTCATCTGAAGTGGGCACCAAAGCTCACAATACTGAAATTCAATGTTTTTAGAACTAAAGACGACCCCTTCTGTCTTGGCTATGTCCCACTGCTCCAGACTGTGAGCATAATCAATACTGCTTTCTCCTGGCACAAGATGCTCAAGTTAAGTGAGTTGCTTGGTAAAACTGCCATAAGCAACCTGCATTTGAACTTCAAAAGTGAAAAGGTTAGTGAAGGTCCTCAATGTTGTCGGTGATGTGCGTATGTGGCTGGTATGTCATGGGGATGCTGTAATCATTAATTTTGGTTAACATAATTCTGGATTATCCCTCTTTTGCAGATTTGGGTCAAACCGGAAGGTCGAAGACAATTGTTACCGGTGTTCCACAAACTTAGGATTGTGAATTTGCTTAACATTTCTGAAGAATGCGATCTTTCTTGGACAATGTTCTTACTCCAAGGTGCACCCAACCTTAAAGAACTGCGCGTCTTGGTAAATTCTTGTACTGATTCTCATTTTTGAAGCTCAAACTTTCTGTGAGTCATCAGGATTTTTTTACCTGACCGAATGCAGGTGCGGGATCATTTATGTGAAATGATAACAGGGGAGCGGAGGAAGATGTGTCCATTTAGCGAGCAGAAGGACAAAGGATTACAGTGGGAACCGTCTACAACCGACTTAAAGCACCACAACCTAACTAAGCTCAGTATCTATGGGAGGTTTCAAGCAGAAGACAAATTCGTGAGCTATGCCAGAAGTGTCATGGAAGCAGCAGTGAATTTGGAGGAGATAAAACTATATAAAAGTCCAGTGTGTTGGAAGTGCAAGCACCTGCTGCAGGAGTGGACATTGGAGGAGAAGTCATATCTTAGCTACAAAATCAACAAAGGGATGCCCTCGCTAGTCCGGATTCACTTTCCGAGTTTAGGGCAAGTCTTATCTTAGAAACAATAATGCTCGTGGGCTGTAAGCTGTCAACTGTTTTGTATGCATGGATTGATTGTCACCGTTGTCAGTTATGTGTGTACTCTTAACATTATAAGTATTTTGTCCAATGGAATTGTGGTTATTTCTTATTCGTGATAAATTAATGCACCTTGTTTTCATTGTGAAATAAATTGCACTACTAAGTGGGACACGCCCTCTGTAGAGATGTTGGATGGCATCACGTCCCTAAGACTACTCATAGTGGAGAGTAACATACTCCCTCCGTTCCAAAATTCTTATCTTATATTTGTCTAAATACGGATGTATCTAGTTATGTTTCAGTCTTAGATACATCCGTATCTAGACAAATCTAAGACATGAATTTTGGGACGGAGGGAGTAGAATAGTAACTTGCCAATGTTACAGTCTATGTTACTATCTCCATAGTGGGTAGTAACATATGAATGGTATCATGAAAGAGTTCATTTATTAGGCTATAGACTCATTATGCCTTGAAATATGTGATGTTACAGTAACTACCTAAGTTACCAATAAACCCCTCTCTCCTCATTAATTAGCTACCACATAAGTAATCTTGTATTGAAATATGTGATGTTACTAGTTAAGTTACTTTCATTGTGATTAGTCTAAGACTAGCCACAATGGAGAGTAACATACACTAATAACATACACGTTTTCCTAAACTATGTTACTACCTTCATAGTGGGTAGTAACTTAAGGCTGGTTGTAATGGGGAGTATCATATTACTAGTATCATGCATGTGATACTAGTGTATGATACTACATCCGTAATGTAAAGTATCATATGTTAGTATCATATAATACTACATTTATTGTCACGCATGACACAAAGTAGCACATCATTTAATATGATACGGTATCATAATATGATACTCAAGCATCTCTTTATTTAATACTATGTCATCTCATCAAAATTGCTTAGTTAGCATGCATGATACTACCTATGGTACTACCATTACGGACAGCCTAAGTGTGGTAACATGCAAAGATTTATTTATTATGTTATAGACTCATATTGCATTGGGACATGTGATGTTACAGTAACTAGCTAAATTACTACAACTAGCTCTCTCCTCATTAACTCATTGCCACATAAGCAAAATTGCTGAGTTGGACCCGATGTTACCGTTGAAGTTACTCCCACTGTGGCTAGTCTAAGACTACCCACACTGGAAGTAACATACTACTCCCTCTGGTCCTTTTTACTCTGCACATTAGGTTTGTCTGAAGTCAAACTCATCCAAGTTTGACCAAGTTTATACAAAAAATTATTAACATTCACATAACAACACATTTATTAATAGATCCATCTCGGAATATATTTTTATATTATATTTATTAGATGTTATAGATGTTAATATTTTCTAATATAAATTTGCTCAAACTTAGCAAATTTTGACTTCAGTCAAAGCTAATGTGCGGAATAAAAAGGACCGGAGGGAGTACCTCCGTCCAGGTTTTTAAGTCCCGCCGACCGAATCGCATGGACCAAGGCACGATCTGCTCTAACCTCCCCCGAGATATCCTAGCCGAGCGAGCGGCCAATGAGCTTCGCCCCCGCAGGTACTGCATGCATGGAACGCTTTGGTTTTCCTTCCCACGCCTGCATGCAGCGTACAGAAGTATTTTAGGCCCTGTTTGGTTCCAAATAAGTCACCAACTTATAGATCGAAAAGTGCAAAAAGTGACTTATTTTGCCAAACGGACCCAACTTATAAGTCACCCTAACTTATAAGTCATAAGTTGCTCCACCCCAACTTAAACTTATAAGTCACTCCCTTTTGCATGGGTCCCACCACTTTTACATAAAAAAACAAGATAGGAAGATGTGCTCAGGTGACTTATAAGTCAGGTGGCAACCAAACAGGTATGACTTATAAGTCACTGGTTTTAAGTCACCTAACTTATAAGTTAGGTGACTTATTGGAACCAAACAGGCCCTTATTACTCGCGCTCTCTCCCTTGATCAAGCGTGCATGCATGCATCGCATGCATTGATTGCTCTGTTGGGAAGACGCGAGGTTTAACTTTTGCATGGTGCTCGAGGCGGAGGCCTTCTAAATATGGTACAGACATGTAGTGCTAAGAGCATAGTTAATAGTATAGCCAGCTGCTGGCTATAAGCCAGTGTCATGTCATATATAGTCCATTTATAGCCAACATGTACAATAATAGATGAAAAAAACATACTACTTTTTTGTTATGTGATCCACTTTTCATTTTCATAAAGTGCCTAGGAGCACGTGCTAGAGCTGGCTCTTCATGAAGAGCCTGCTTACCTTCTCTCTCCTCTTCTCTTTCCTTCAACTAAGCACAAATATACTAGTTTATTTCTTATAGCCCGCTGACTCAACTCTATTGTACTTGCTTTAAGGGGCCCAAAAAACCCGGACGGAGGTAGTAGATAGTAACGTCAAACATATCTAGATAAAATAGGTGATCTGGCAAGCAATAAATAAAAAAAGAGAAGGAAGTGGTAACATAGCTAGTTACTGATAGTGTGAGTAACATCACACATATCAAGGTAAGATGAGTCTATAGCATAATAAATGAAGTGTTGCATATTACCACACATATGTTACTCCCCACTATAGAGGTAGTAACATAGACTAGTAACATCACTGGTAGAAAAAGGGCCTATAGTCCCGGTTCGTAAGGGCCTTTAGTCCCGGTTCCTGAACCGGGACTAAAGTGTCGGTACTAATGCCCTGACCCTTTAGTCCCGGTTCAATCCAGAACCGGGACTAAAGGGCGCGGCCACGTGGAGCTCCATCTTTAGTCCCGGTTGGTAACACCAACCAGGACTAAAGGAAATTTTATGATTTTTTTTTGAAAAAAAAATTTGAAATTTTTTTATTTTCAAACTTCTGAATTATTTTAACCTCTAGTCTGTAATCACCACCCCTCATCACTTCTCAATTTATCCTCTAATCACCCCTCATCATTCCAAATCATCTAACTTTCCGAACGGTCACCCATCCTCCCACTCCCCCAGCCTGAGCACGCTTAACTTCCGGGTTCTATTCTCCCTCGCTTCAAGTCTGCACTTGTTGTTTTCCTGACAATAGTAAGATGTCAATCCTATTAACCTTCAGGAATTTTGCTTGAGCATGAAGTGACACATTTCACTGTTTGAGTTTGAAACTATTGTTTTAAAAAACAATAATTATTTAGTAACACTAATATTTCTTGAATAATTAGTTTAACCATTGTTTGACCACAGTTTGACCACAGTTTGACCAGATTTGACCAAAATTGAAATAACTAAAATAATTATTTAGTAACACTAATATTCTAGAATAATTAGTTTGACCATTGTTTGACCAGTTTGCCCACTGTTTGAATATTTTTCATTTTTTTCCACTCTAGATCTTAAAAGCCCCGTAACTTTTTTTCTATTAGGTTTTTGAGGATTTTGAAAAATTTTAACGGGGTTCCCCCCGTTAAATTTGGATGTAACTTTTCGAGTAGATGATTTTTCATATAAAAAACTTTTTCATCCGAGTTAGTATGCAAAAGTTATGCCCATTTTTACAAATTTCAGAGAGATTTTGCAAATAAAGTCAAAATTCACATTTGCAAATTTTCCCAACAACTAGACCACATATCACATGAGAAACTTATTTTCTTTTATTTTTTTGACATTTCCATTATTTTCTTTTATTTTTTAAAAAACTGAAAAGGCGATCC